CATAAGAACATTAAGTAAACAAAAATCAGAGATGGTAACTCGGCAGACTTTTTCACATCTTCATCAATTAGTGCCCAATAAGAATTGAGACAACTGCCGATATTAGCGAATGTTTAGTGCATTTCTTTGAACGCTACTCAGACCTGCCAAATAGACCTTTTGATCAAGAGGCTCTCTCTTGCAGCAGTGGACTCTAGATCGTGTATGTCCTTCCTGACACGTTAGGGTGGGGCATCCAAGCAGTTATTGCGATGATAGCATGTTGTTATGCTGACGTATGGGAAGAACCTAGATGGTCCATTGGTGCCAGGAGGTGACCTTGTCACAGCTCTCAGGCCAGCATTCTGACAGGTTTGGATATCCTTCCACTGCGTAGCACTTGCATTCGTAGACCGTCGCATTGTAAGGGGTTAACATAGACTTTTTCGCGATTGCAACTAAATTTCCCTTGACCTGCATATTTAAATCTGTTCTCATCTTTGCCGACAATGTGGTAAAAAATGTGGCTTTTGGCTTAGTGATGGAAATTTTTATTTTCCTCGCGTACGATACATATAGATATACGATACATATAGTTGATTATCCAACGTTTCAAACTTGGGCGAAAGGTAGTTTTCTCAACATGCTCAAACAGTGTGCTATTTGGAATCTCTATCTATAGTGTACAATTGGAGGCTTACATAAAACCTGAAATCGTGGCGGCTTATGTTATCATAAGCTATGTGCATCGATGAATTTGGTCGTCCAGGCTCCGATTTTCAGAATTGTAATTGGGGCATTCACGTTATTTATACAGAATTTATAGTTAGTTACTAGTTTATCAATTTATTGGTCCGCTTCAGAAAATTACATCAAAACGAAAGTGTTTGACATTAAAAGAAAAAGTGGAAATTATTGATACAACACAGTAAATTAAATTAAAAAATTAGTTTATTAACAAGTACAAAAACAGCTAAGTTCGGCCGGGCAGAACTTTTAATATCCTCCAACATTTGAAGGAACTTGAAAAATTTAAATAACTTCCGGAAACTTAAATGAAAACTGTTATATTGGACAATACAAGGACGTGGACCTGCTTACGATTTTTTTCATTATTTAACGGACTTATTTCAAATTTTGTATTTGAAGTTCGTAATGTGTGCTACCGCCTAGGACAGAAATTTTTGTATTCAGATCCATATTTGAAATTCGTAATGGGACTATAGCCTATGACAAAAATTTCTAAGCCACATCTTCGTATAGTTAGGTAGTTTTCGGAATTTTTTTGATATTTCTTAAGTTCCCTCCAAATGTTGGAGGATATTAAAAGTACGGTCCGGTCGAACTTTGCTGTATTTTTTAATTGTTTGTTGTACCAACGTTCATTTTTCCATATATCTCATTGTTGTTTCCCTCGCACTCTATAAAGTTGTGTTTATCTTCGATGTTTATTTTGTTTTTTAGTGTCGCTGAACATTTTTGGAGTGTTTTTCGTTTTTTGCGCTTGTCGTATGTTTGGTTTTAGGAACTTTTCCGATATGTGTAATATGTAAATCATCGACTTGTATGTTCAACCCTCATTTTTCTGCTTTGGTCTTGTGCGTCTATTTTCAATGAAGTTGTTGTTCTTGTTTTAGCTTTGGAATTTTTCGTCAATTATATTTAATACTCTGCGACCAAAATTTTTGGCAGTGTTAATTTTTATTTGTTTCAGATGCTTTGTATAGAAATTTATGTTTCTACCGGAAGCTGTCGGTTTTTGGTACCAATCAAATTCTATTTTCTCACTCTTCCTACCAACGATTGTGTCCGAATAGGGAATGCTTCCATGTAATTCTTCTTCCATCGTAAATTTGATATTGTCATTAAAGCTTCTTAACGTTGTCAGCGTCTTGCACTTGTTTCAGAAATAACAAGAAGATCGTCGACATACTTCGTCACAATCGTCAGTTTTGTTGTAAATTTTTCCAAACACGTGTCAAGAAGTTTCTCCATAACCAAATCTGCTACGAACCCATTGGCAGTCCTTTCTTTCTTTGTACACTTTGTCGTCATAATTGAAATAGCTGTTGTCCTTAATGCAGAAAGTAAGAATACTGAAAAATAAGCTATTTGTCATATTTGTGTGTTCTTTTATTTCGTCCCATGTTTCTTCTATTAAACGTATGCCTAAATCTACAGGAATACTAGGATACAGGGAAACAGCATCAAAGGAAACCATTCTTTCCATTTTTCTGATGGTAACATGCTGTAGTTTGTCCTTATAAGCTATAAAGTCTATGACGTTGTATCCATGGCATAATTACAGAAGGTAGAACAAAGCAACCCCCTAGATACATTTTTTTCTTTTGGTGCCCCTATTCGGTCAAAACATATACACATTTTGTGTATGTGTGTGTATTGTTTTGAATAAAAATTACAATAATTTGAAATAATTTTTTGAAATTTAGTTGCAAAATAAATGCTAATTTTCGACGTGAATGGGTATCAAATTGTATAATTTTGTGATATAAAATGTATTGTCCTACTATTTTTAGATTCAAACCCCCGAAATTCCATTCTTGTTTCGCGGGTTTTCCCAATATAAGGATTTTGGTAAAAAAATTAAAAATAAACGAAACCAACTGTTGCATATTCAATTTTTTAACACTATAAGACTCCAGCATAAAGTTGCTTTTTTCTTGTTTCTTTGAAGTTGAGCAGCTTTTCTTATTGAGCCACGTTTGTAACTAGAATTGCTGTTAAGATTTTTCAAAATGTTGACGATATTTCTACAGAGTTTAATCGATAGAGAATTGACTGAAGAGCAATTTGGACGCAGAGGGTAATCTTCTTTGTGGATTTTAGGAAGTCTAGGAGCTGTACCACATCAGTTCTGAGTCTTTTATTTTCTAAAACTGAATAAAGTTGTTTTTAAACAGTTCATCCATCAGTTCATTATTTCGTTTGATCAAATGTGTTGTAGTCATTTATTATGTTATTCATCCTGTAGTCATTTTTGTTCATTGCATTTTATTTGCGGCAATTGTTGGTTGTTGCATTAAAATATTAAAAATATATAACAATTCGCTGGAATTAATTTTTTTGAAGAACTTTGAAAAAAATTATTTTCGAGAAATTATTTATCAAACGAGTGTTTATAAAATATTTTTTGATTCAGAAAGATATTTATTAATCGTTTTTTTTTAAATCTGCGAGATTTTTTTGATTGATTTAATTTTTTTTTTCATTTGGCTTCAAATCTTATTGGGTGAAAACGCAGCTTTTTAATTTTTTTGACTCGTGCAAGCAACTTCTGTTTTTTTTATTTTCACAAATAAATCGCCGATAAATTTAGTACTCTGAATCCAAAGTACATATTTTTTGACATTCCATTTTTTATTCTTTTCAAGTTTTTCTGGGGACTTTCTTAAGTTTTTGTTGCAAAATTTGTTATAAAGTCACACATCACAGCCAAAATTATACATGATAAATTTTCGTCTTGTGTTAATGACCTGCTGGATTATACATCCATTTTATGCATCCTGCAGCACTCGAGACATCACGAGTTAAGATAAATTCATTCTACGATTAAGTTAAGCGGTCTTATGTGGGATGTCGAGACTATGTTTTAGAAGACATAAACAATCAGAAAAAAAGATGAGGACTCAATATCTAGAGGCCATCGATTCATACGAGAAAGCTATCGGCACATATAATAGTCGAAGCTTATACAGAAGGAAGATAAAGAAAAGTCGAAATGAGAGGCACTTTTGAAACAACAATTAAGAACGGAAACACCGTTGTCAATACTGCCCTCATGTGACACCGACACACCATGTCCCACTCAATAATGATGGGTTCGAGATAACCTGGAAGTATTTAACTGAGAGATATTAGAATCGGACAAAGCAGGTCAACGAGCAACTGAACATTTTATTCAATTTACCAGCTGTTAAGTGGAAACATTGAAAGTCGACGTTTCAGGATGGGACTCAATACAACATTTTGGAAATACCATTCACGATTGTTAGACTCTTTCTTTTGGGCAGAATTTAATAATACTTTGACCCACAAACTTAAAATTTTAGAATCAGTTGGTAATATAAAGCCAAGCTTTTCGAAATCGAATACTCAGAGTCAGATCAGGCTTGAACATAATAAGGTCACAAACAGTTTCCAGACCAATAATTACTAAAGCAAGTAAATTAATCAACAAACTAAGGCACATTATCAGAATACGTGTCAAATTTGTAAAGCTTATAATTTCATATGGGATTGTAATCGATAGGATTAATCTTGTTAATATTTCACATTTGTGTTGTGGTCTTAAATATTTACAGTCGGATCACCCATGAAATCTATTAGTGTCTTGTTGGCCTAAATTACTGTTTTTGGATGGATAATTGGCAGACCCTTATTGGAAGAAGCTCACAAGATTAGAAAAATGTCACTCTGCAGCGCTATATCAATTGATGAAATTTTTACACGCTTTTGCCGTTTAAAAAGTGTGAGGAACTTGGAGACTCAAGAAAGATTGCCTTCTCATAATTCTATAGAATGGAAACTCCTTAAAAATACAAAAATCTTACAAAAAACTTACTAAGTAAAAAAGAGGTCAATGAGTTAACAGGCATCCTTACGGGGCACCTGGGCCTACAAGATAGGATATGCAGAAAACCGCATATGCAGGACATGTGGGGAAGATGACGAAACATTGGAACACTTTCTCTGCCAATGCCCAGCGGTTTCAAATTTCAGATCCCAATTCTTAGGGAACGATTCCATACCAGACCTTAATCAGACCATGGTAAATGATATAAAGCAGTTACGAAATTTCATAAAGGCAACTGAATTTCAAATATAAAAGACTGTAAACTGCCCGCCTTCTTCAAAAAACTCTTAGTCCAGAGCGCACAACAGGCCTATACTGGCTTAAGTGTATGCCCAACATGGCATGCGGCGAATTGCTTCGCTCCTCTTTTCAGCCTAACCTAACCTACATGCAGGTCCAGTTTTACAATAAGATATTACATATTTATAATGCCGACGTTACCAAGATGTGCCGACAGATTTTGTTGGACCCTAGTCCAACACAGTTTCACGAATATTATTTAGAAAATTTTCGTGAAATCCTATTGAGGATTATGAGTGGTTTACGGTAACATTTGGGGTTAATTTAGCACGCTTCCTAGCATTTAGAACTCTCATTCAATTTGCAGAAGATACAAAAGACACATCCACTAGCACCGAAAATAATTTTTATGACATTATTTTCAATCGAAGATACCATAAAGTCTCACAAGAAGTTAGTAGCCGCTATGAAAATTGCCAAATTGTTGTAACTGCCAAACTAGTCAAGGCTTGATAAGATTAACTGTTTTTTTTGTTTGAAAATAATTTTTTTTTTAATTTTTACACGGTTTTTGTAATTGAGGCGCAAAGTAATGAATAATACTGAAAAAATCCGCCGGAGGAAATTTAGAGATGCTTTGGGCCCCTTGTGCTACCACAGTGCCGTGAGAATATTTTAATAATAAATACCTGTGCTTACTCTTAAATAATAAAAACGTTATAACATTTCAAAATATTTACATTTTTGCACAGAATGTCTTTTTGAGTTTTTTTGTTTTATTTTGTGCTTCAATTTATCATTCGTAATGCCAGATTGTTTAGTTTTCATTATGAATAACGTTTGTTGGAAGAAAAAACTGGGTTTCAAGAAAAAAATGACGTGGCAAAACTTTGTTAACAATTGGCAATTGGGTTAATTTTTTTAATTATATAAATAAAAAGAAAAAAATGTAAATTTAAATGTGTATTTATTTACCTTGAAACTTTCAAATACTTGATATCCGCGCTATCAGCCAAAGTGATTTTAATTCGCACTTACAAAACAAATACAATTTCACTTGCAAAATCCAAAGTGGTTTCAAACCAAAAAAAATGCGATTTTCGCTTTCTAAGTACGGAATTAAATTCACTTTGGGTGATAGCGCGCATATTATATTACACTACAAACAAACAATACATAATTGCGAAATTTTTTCATCCCGTTGCAACTAGTTATTGATGGTAATTGTCAATTTGTAAGCATTTTCCCTCGCAGTACATTTTTTAAACGACTCTACGTTTTGAACAAACATAGTATGTTTTATATGTCTCAATGTTAGAATTTATTCAGTCCATTGCATTTATAACAAATGCCGATAGAAATAAACTGTTTAGCATCACGTCTGGTATATTCAAAAAATTTAATAGCTTTTAGGTGAGTGTACATAACTAGCTTGGCCTCAAAGGAGAGTGTCACAGTTCGCCAGATTTAGACATTGGGTCATCCGGTCTGATAAATGACTTGACTTAGCAACCCGGCATTTCTCCTAGCTCAGACTATCTCCCGATAATCGTCTCCATCAGTAGATCGCCCGATTTCATAACCTCTGAACGCCGCACTTTCCTTAACCATTGGAAAGCCCATGACTCAATAAGAAAGATTGCTCAACTTCAAAAAAGAATACCCATCTGTAATTATTTGTCACATTTTCTGTAATTTTCCTTGTCACATTTCTCTACATAAAAACAGGTTCCCATCTCTGATTTGTGTATGTACAATGGATTTATAAATACAAATTTTGACATTGAGATGTTGTCAAATGAATAATTTTTGAAAAAATTGTAAACATATGCTTGCATGACTTTACCTCCTTGTTTCTACGATGCTCAACTTCAAAGAAACTAAAAAAATGAACTTTGTGCTGGAGCCTTATAGTGTCAAAATGACTTTTAAATATGCAATAGATGGTTTGGTTTATTTTCCATTTTTCACAAAATTCTTATATTGGGAAACCCGTGAAACAAAAATGGAATTTTGGGGTTATTCCACAAGATTGGATCTAAATAGTAGGACAATATTGCTTTATCCCAATATTGTACAATGTCCTGCCCAATTACATCGAAATTATGCATTTATTTTGCAACCGAATTTGAAATAATTTCAAATTAACGGAAATGATATTTAGGGACATCGCCGCTCGCTATATACCTGCTGGTCGAATGCCCGAAGTAAGACCAAATTTCTTGAGCTCCGGCGTACTAACCCTACTGATCCCAGACAGTGGAAGTCCGCAGATTGATACAGGAACATGATAGGACAGCAGTCGCATTTAACGACGTAACGGTGACTGATCCGAAGAGGTTCGCTGGCCATTTTAAACGCCAATTTGTCGAGCAGCCCGAGAGTGATAGAGCGAGGCTAGGAGTACTGCAGCGTATAAGAGCTCTTTCCGCCGAGGATATACCTGAATAGTTTACGATGGGTGATGTTGCGAATGTCTTCCGAAACGCTAAGTCATCTAAAGTCATGTTGAAGCAACTGGATACACCGGGAGTTGAGTATATTGAGTGATAAATTGAAAAGTAGGAACAAGGTCCTTAAGACGCTAGCCGGCAAGGTCCTCCGGGGTTCGGATAAGGAAACCTTGTTGACCTTTTATAAAGCGATATGTCGTTCTGTTGTTAGCTATGCTGCTGCAGTGTGGTCCGAGTGCAATGCAGCGGTAAAGTATTCAGACCTGCCAGAATGCCGCCCTGAGAACTGCAACAGGGTTCCTCCTCATGACTCCTGTGGACCATTTACATGAGGAGACGAAGTGTTTTCGTTGCAGTACCTGCTTGGGTGTTATCGTGGGTCATACTAACCAACATATATGGGGCAGAACTCCCCAACCAGGCGTGTCAGCAAGGACCAGCATGAGTCTTTCCCTATTGGATCTGATATTTGCAAATGCTAGACATTGTTTTCATCATCTTCCCCGTATGCCCTGTATATGCTGTTATCTGTACAGATAAGCTTGTAGGCCCAGGTGACCCGTTACATCCCAGTTACCCCACTAATCTACTACTGATGCGTATGTTAGAACAAGTCTAACTACGCTTTTGAATATCCAGTGCGTCATCCTTGAATTAAAACTCGTCTGCATAACAGACTGGTTCAAATCCTTTGTTGGTTAAATTCCGTAAAGACTGTTTATGGAAGTGTAACATAAGGTGTGTCTGCTTACTTTTCCTGCAGGAATTGTCCAGCAACATCTTTCTGAGAGAGTAAGGTAGTTTTATTATCTTTTGCAAGGAAATTGCGAAAAGTAAACAGACAAGCTTCCTGCAGAAGCTTGCAACTAATCAGCTGATTTGTCAAAACAAACCAATTTGTCCCCCATTAAAAGAATTAAACGAAAGGAACCACCACCAATTTCACAAGTTTTATAAATAACAAGTAAGCTAAGGATATAGTCGTGCGCGGCCGACTATGTGATACCCTACAACACTACAATATGTTAGAAGCCCCCTCATATCCAAATCCATTTTGGAAGATTTTTTCAATATTTACGCACTCCGTCGTGCTGTTAGTTTTTGTGGTCCATTTTACGGCTAAATATAATCCAATGGTCATCCAAAATGCTAGAATTCTTCACTGTGCTTAACTATCTTCTCAGGCGTGCCGATTGGCTTCAATTGTGTTATCATGATTTTTTTCTGTTTTTGTTTCATTTGAACCCATATATATTTTGCGATCATCTCCAAAAGCAATTTGGCTATAGTCGTCGACGAAATCAGCATAAAAAGCCAGAAGTTCGCCTTTTGGGTATTTCGGATATCGCCTGTAAGTAATGTTAGTATTTTTGCACACAAAAGTAGTGGTCCATTATAACTGCTGTCTTAAATTCTAACTTCATGCAAGATTTCGTGTCCTTTGGTTTCTATGTGTGACCTTTATAACATTTGCAAAATCAGGAACATTTTGAGTTGCTGGCCCATTTCAACCCCTAAATATATTGCGGACATATTTGAAAACAATAGGCTTAGCCCTTCTGAGCCTAACCCTACCTTTGTCAAAAATTTCGTGAGGATCGAATGATAATTGCAATCTGTGTATACATAATAACCCGATGACCATCAAAATTGGAAGGCATCTGCCCAGCCCAAAGCTCTAGCCCCATGCTAACTTTTGCTTCGATTGGTCTATAATTGTGACCTGTAGAGCAACTGCAAAATTTTTGCATCATTTTTCAGTTTTTGGTCCATTTCAACCCCTTAATATTGTGCGATCATCTCCAAAAGAAATAGGGTTCTATTCTGATTAACCCCACCTACATTTTAAATTTCGTGAAGATCGGGCTATAATTGCGACCTGTAGAGTGATTACCAATTAACATGGACAGACGGACGGACGGACATACATAGCTAGATCGACTCAGCTCGGCGAGATAGGAAGATCCATATATACTTTCCTATGTGGGAAATCAATATTTCGTGGTGTTACATAATTTTTGGCCCAATCAAACTTATAATACCCCCAACACAAAGTGTTGTAGGGTATAAAAAGGAAATTGACAATAAAATAAAAATATGAGCAATAAAAGGAAGATAGATATGATGTGTTCCGCGGAATCTTTTAAACCTGTTGCTAATGGCATTTGTCTAAAAATGCTGGAAAAAGTCTTTTACTTTCTTATTACATATTAATATTTACTTTTTTCATATTTTGTAAAGTTGTTCTCCAAAAACAATTAGTCTTGCTAATTCCAAAACAATATTTTCAAATTAAAATCACAAAAAGAAATTAATAAACAATAGAAAACATCTGATTGAATGACGATGAATGAGAAGAAGAAGAGTTGCAAGAGATTGCAAGAAGAAATTTGTCCAGCAAGAATTTGCAAACTCTCACTGAAAGAACTGTCAAAATTTCTCTCTCCAACCGCTCTCTTTTGCAGAACTTTCGGGTTAACAGACGACTTCCAGTAACAATTTGTAACAATTGTTACAAATTTTAGGGTAACCATACACACCTATAGTGAATGATGGCAACCCCAAAAAAAAATGTCAATTGACGTTTGCTGACATTTCATAATCCTCGATCTCTTCCTTTTGTGACTAGCTTTGAGTAAACAAGTATTCTTTAACATTAAAATTGTAATTTTTTATTTTTAAGACATAAATATTATTCAATAAATGAATTCCAAATAATAAAAGTTATGTTAATTGGCGACGAGGATGAAACATCGACTGGAGTACAAAGTGAAACAGAGGAAAGTAAGATGGCTTCAAAATACGGCGATTTGACAACAGTTTAATGTGGCTGCGGGAAATTGGCAGATTTATCTAAAACAGATGATTTTTTTTTCATGGCAAATGGTATAGCGGACGAGGATGCAAAAAAGGCGATATTTTTATCTTCTTGTGGGCCAGATACCTACGTACTGTTGAAATCCATAGCCACTCCAGATAACGTTATGGACAAAACATTCTCGTTTAAAAGAGCCGTGGAATTGTTATCCAAACATTTTTGCCCGCCACCAAACCAGATTATACAGCATTTCCAGTTTTACCGCAGAGACCAGAAAGAGGGAGAGACGGTTCCCGAATTTTTGACCGCTTTAAGAAATTTGGGCCAATATTGTGAATTCACAGATTTGGGTGTAATGCTGCGTGACGGATTGGTGTGTGGATTAAGAGATAGATGAGAGTCTACAGAAATGATTGTTGTCAAATGATAAACTAACACTCAAAATTGCACAGGAAGAAGCCATTGCCAGTGAAGAGGCCCAGACGAATTTAGCCGCATTGAAAACACCAGTTAACCAGCAAAAGATAAACAGAATTGGTAACGGCAGAGAAAAAAAGAGTAAAGCAAAAAATCAATCCAGAGATTGTTTTAGATATGGGGGTACACATTCGCCAGACCAGTGCCGGTTTAAAGAAGATTACCACTTCTGCAAAGAACGTGGAGATATTGAAAAGGCGTGTATCACCAAAGCCAGGTCGTCCAGGAAAAAACTCTGGAGGAGCAATGGGTAAGAATAATGTTAACCAGATCAAAATACCCCCGAATGACGGAAACCAGGACTACATTTTGTCAATGAGTGGAGTAAATGGCATATCGATCCGCAGAGAAGTGAAAATTTGTGAAAAATCTATTGAGGTGGATATTGACTCTGGTGCCAGTCACTCAATTATGAGTGAAGATAAATTTTATAAGAAGTTCCGTAACCTAAAGTTACATCCCAGTAAAACACATCTAAAAGCATGGGGCACAGAAAATAATTGCCAAATTTGTGGCGAAGAACGTGTTCCAGTTTCTTTGGGTGCTATTAACTGGAAGCTGATACTGGTACGTGGAAGAGGTCCATCCTTAATTGAAAGAAATTGGTTTGAGTAATTGGGAATTTCCATAATTAGTCCAGTGCACAGCATCGAAGGTGGGTTACCAGAAGAGGTAACTGAATTCAACACAATATTCGATTCAATGGAGGAGGATGGTGTGCTACGTTCATTGACGAATAGCGTATGGGCTACTCCAATAGTTCCAGTTTTAAAACCAGATAATACCATACGCATTTTTGGTGATTATTAATGTACGGTAAACCAGATGATTTGTAAAGAAACATCCCCTGCCAACCAACATGGAAGTGCTAACAACTTTAGCGAATTGTAAATGGTTTTTCAGATTGGGTTTAGATAGAGCGTACACTCAGGTGAAAGTAGGCGATGAATCAGCAAAAATTTTAACCATTAACACACATCGTGGATTGTTTGAGGTTACCAGATTACCGTTCGGTATATCCACAGCACCAAGTATTTTTCAACGTATGATGGAAGGCCTGTTAAGTGGCATAGATGGCGTTGTGGTATATCTTGATGATATTTTGATTGGTGGTAAGACGGTTCAGGAGATGTGGGACCGAACAAAAGTTGTTCTTCGACGCATACAAGATACCGGTTTAAAATTAAAAAGAAGTAAATGTGTTTTTTCTGTTCAAGAGCTATGCCTTTTGGAGTTCAAGGTAAATCGAGATGGTGTGAAACCAACAGATGAAAAGATCAGGGCAATTTATCAAGCACCTGAACCAACCGACAAACAACAACTGCAATCATTCCTGGGATTAGTAACATTTTACGAACGATTTTTCCGCAACAAGTTAAATGTGTTGGAGCCGCATTATCGTCTTTTGCAAAAGGATGCCAGCAAGTTTTGATCAGGTAAAGAAAAATCTTCAATCTGAAAATCTTTTGGTTCGTTATTCCGCAGAATTGCCATTGATTTTGAGTGGTGATGCTTCACCATACGGAGTGGGGCAGTCTTAGCTCACGTCATACCAGTCTTAGCTCACGTCATGCCAATTGCTTTTGGGTGCCGGACTCTCCAATCAGCTGAAAAGAACTCTACCCAGTTAGACAAGAAGGCACTTGCGATTATTTTTGGCTAGAAGAAGTTTAACCAGTTTTTGAGTTGAAGAGAATTTACGATCTTAACTGATCACAAACCGTTGTTGGGACTGTTTAATCCAGTGAAACCCATATCTGAGCATATGTCACCTAGGATGTTGAGATGGTGGTTGATGCTAGGGGCATACCAATACAACATAAAATATAGAGAAGGGAAGAAAAACAAAAATGCAGATGCATTAAGCAGGCTACCATTTAAAGAAGTAGGTGGAACAATTCCGAATATTCCTGAAATTTTATATTGTACAGAAGGCAAAGACCAGTTCTTAATAATGTTTGCCATTGTTTGCTTTTGGGTACAAGAGTAATAATACCCACAATTTTCGTTCCCGTATTTTGAATATGTTGCATGAAGTACACCAAGGTATGTCAGCCATGAAAGCTACCGCCAGAAGTTATTTTTGGTGGCCAGGTCTCAATAAGGACATCGGGATGACGGCGAAAAAATGTGAGAAATGTTCCCAACAAAATAAACACCCTCCAGCGGCAGAATCAAAACCATTTAGACCGTGGTCGAGAGGCATGCGGCGAATTGCTTCGCTCCTCTTTTCAGCCTAACCTAACCTACATGCAGGTCCAGTTTTACAATAAGATATTACACATTTATAATGCCGACGTTACCAAGATGTGCCGACAGATTTTGTTGGACCCTAGTCCAACACAGTTTCACGAATATTATTTAGAAAATTTTCGTGAAATCCTATTGAGGATTATGAGTGGTTTACGGTAACATTTGGGGTTAATTTAGCACGCTTCCTAGCATTTAGAACTCTCATTCAATTTGCAGAAGATACAAAAGACACATCCACTAGCACCGAAAATAATTTTTATGACATTATTTTCAATCGAAGATACCATAAAGTCTCACAAGAAGTTAGTAGCCGCTATGAAAATTGCCAAATTGTTGTAACTGCCAAACTAGTCAAGGCTTGATAAGATTAACTGTTTTTTTTGTTTGAAAATAATTTTTTTTTTAATTTTTACACGGTTTTTGTAATTGAGGCGCAAAGTAATGAATAATACTGAAAAAATCCGCCGGAGGAAATTTAGAGATGCTTTGGGCCCCTTGTGCTACCACAGTGCCGTGAGAATATTTTAATAATAAATACCTGTGCTTACTCTTAAATAATAAAAACGTTATAACATTTCAAAATATTTACATTTTTGCACAGAATGTCTTTTTGAGTTTTTTTGTTTTATTTTGTGCTTCAATTTATCATTCGTAATGCCAGATTGTTTAGTTTTCATTATGAATAACGTTTGTTGGAAGAAAAAACTGGGTTTCAAGAAAAAAATGACGTGGCAAAACTTTGTTAACAATTGGCAATTGGGTTAATTTTTTTAATTATATAAATAAAAAGAAAAAAATGTAAATTTAAATGTGTATTTATTTACCTTGAAACTTTCAAATACTTGATATCCGCGCTATCAGCCAAAGTGATTTTAATTCGCACTTACAAAACAAATACAATTTCACTTGCAAAATCCAAAGTGGTTTCAAACCAAAAAAAATGCGATTTTCGCTTTCTAAGTACGGAATTAAATTCACTTTGGGTGATAGCGCGCATATTATATTACACTACAAACAAACAATACATAATTGCGAAATTTTTTCATCCCGTTGCAACTAGTTATTGATGGTAATTGTCAATTTGTAAGCATTTTCCCTCGCAGTACATTTTTTAAACGACTCTACGTTTTGAACAAACATAGTATGTTTTATATGTCTCAATGTTAGAATTTATTCAGTCCATTGCATTTATAACAAATGCCGATAGAAATAAACTGTTTAGCATCACGTCTGGTATATTCAAAAAATTTAATAGCTTTTAGGTGAGTGTACATAACTAGCTTGGCCTCAAAGGAGAGTGTCACAGTTCGCCAGATTTAGACATTGGGTCATCCGGTCTGATAAATGACTTGACTTAGCAACCCGGCATTTCTCCTAGCTCAGACTATCTCCCGATAATCGTCTCCATCAGTAGATCGCCCGATTTCATAACCTCTGAACGCCGCACTTTCCTTAACCATTGGAAAGCCCATGACTCAATAAGAAAGATTGCTCAACTTCAAAAAAGAATACCCATCTGTAATTATTTGTCACATTTTCTGTAATTTTCCTTGTCACATTTCTCTACATAAAAACAGGTTCCCATCTCTGATTTGTGTATGTACAATGGATTTATAAATACAAATTTTGACATTGAGATGTTGTCAAATGAATAATTTTTGAAAAAATTGTAAACATATGCTTGCATGACTTTACCTCCTTGTTTCTACGATGCTCAACTTCAAAGAAACTAAAAAAATGAACTTTGTGCTGGAGCCTTATAGTGTCAAAATGACTTTTAAATATGCAATAGATGGTTTGGTTTATTTTCCATTTTTCACAAAATTCTTATATTGGGAAACCCGTGAAACAAAAATGGAATTTTGGGGTTATTCCACAAGATTGGATCTAAATAGTAGGACAATATTGCTTTATCCCAATATTGTACAATGTCCTGCCCAATTACATCGAAATTATGCATTTATTTTGCAACCGAATTTGAAATAATTTCAAATTAACGGAAATGATATTTAGGGACATCGCCGCTCGCTATATACCTGCTGGTCGAATGCCCGAAGTAAGACCAAATTTCTTGAGCTCCGGCGTACTAACCCTACTGATCCCAGACAGTGGAAGTCCGCAGATTGATACAGGAACATGATAGGACAGCAGTCGCATTTAACGACGTAACGGTGACTGATCCGAAGAGGTTCGCTGGCCATTTTAAACGCCAATTTGTCGAGCAGCCCGAGAGTGATAGAGCGAGGCTAGGAGTACTGCAGCGTATAAGAGCTCTTTCCGCCGAGGATATACCTGAATAGTTTACGATGGGTGATGTTGCGAATGTCTTCCGAAACGCTAAGTCATCTAAAGTCATGTTGAAGCAACTGGATACACCGGGAGTTGAGTATATTGAGTGATAAATTGAAAAGTAGGAACAAGGTCCTTAAGACGCTAGCCGGCAAGGTCCTCCGGGGTTCGGATAAGGAAACCTTGTTGACCTTTTATAAAGCGATATGTCGTTCTGTTGTTAGCTATGCTGCTGCAGTGTGGTCCGAGTGCAATGCAGCGGTAAAGTATTCAGACCTGCCAGAATGCCGCCCTGAGAACTGCAACAGGGTTCCTCCTCATGACTCCTGTGGACCATTTACATGAGGAGACGAAGTGTTTTCGTTGCAGTACCTGCTTGGGTGTTATCGTGGGTCATACTAACCAACATATATGGGGCAGAACTCCCCAACCAGGCGTGTCAGCAAGGACCAGCATGAGTCTTTCCCTATTGGATCTGATATTTGCAAATGCTAGACATTGTTTTCATCATCTTCCCCGTATGCCCTGTATATGCTGTTATCTGTACAGATAAGCTTGTAGGCCCAGGTGACCCGTTACATCCCAGTTACCCCACTAATCTACTACTGATGCGTATGTTAGAACAAGTCTAACTACGCTTTTGAATATCCAGTGCGTCATCCTTGAATTAAAACTCGTCTGCATAACAGACTGGTTCAAATCCTTTGTTGGTTAAATTCCGTAAAGACTGTTTATGGAAGTGTAACATAAGGTGTGTCTGCTTACTTTTCCTGCAGGAATTGTCCAGCAACATCTTTCTGAGAGAGTAAGGTAGTTTTATTATCTTTTGCAAGGAAATTGCGAAAAGTAAACAGACAAGCTTCCTGCAGAAGCTTGCAACTAATCAGCTGATTTGTCAAAACAAACCAATTTGTCCCCCATTAAAAGAATTAAACGAAAGGAACCACCACCAATTTCACAAGTTTTATAAATAACAAGTAAGCTAAGGATATAGTCGTGCGCGGCCGACTATGTGATACCCTACAACACTACAATATGTTAGAAGCCCCCTCATATCCAAATCCATTTTGGAAGATTTTTTCAATATTTACGCACTCCGTCGTGCTGTTAGTTTTTGTGGTCCATTTTACGGCTAAATATAATCCAATGGTCATCCAAAATGCTAGAATTCTTCACTGTGCTTAACTATCTTCTCAGGCGTGCCGATTGGCTTCAATTGTGTTATCATGATTTTTTTCTGTTTTTGTTTCATTTGAACCCATATATATTTTGCGATCATCTCCAAAAGCAATTTGGCTATAGTCGTCGACGAAATCAGCATAAAAAGCCAGAAGTTCGCCTTTTGGGTATTTCGGATATCGCCTGTAAGTAATGTTAGTATTTTTGCACACAAAAGTAGTGGTCCATTATAACTGCTGTCTTAAATTCTAACTTCATGCAAGATTTCGTGTCCTTTGGTTTCTATGTGTGACCTTTATAACATTTGCAAAATCAGGAACATTTTGAGTTGCTGGCCCATTTCAACCCCTAAATATATTGCGGACATATTTGAAAACAATAGGCTTAGCCCTTCTGAGCCTAACCCTACCTTTGTCAAAAATTTCGTGAGGATCGAATGATAATTGCAATCTGTGTATACATAATAACCCGATGACCATCAAAATTGGAAGGCATCTGCCCAGCCCAAAGCTCTAGCCCCATGCTAACTTTTGCTTCGATTGGTCTATAATTGTGACCTGTAGAGCAACTGCAAAATTTTTGCATCATTTTTCAGTTTTTGGTCCATTTCAACCCCTTAATATTGTGCGATCATCTCCAAAAGAAATAGGGTTCTATTCTGATTAACCCCACCTACATTTTAAATTTCGTGAAGATCGGGCTATAATTGCGACCTGTAGAGTGATTACCAATTAACATGGACAGACGGACGGACGGACATACATAGCTAGATCGACTCAGCTCGGCGAGATAGGAAGATCCATATATACTTTCCTATGTGGGAAATCAATATTTCGTGGTGTTACATAATTTTTGGCCCAATCAAACTTATAATACCCCCAACACAAAGTGTTGTAGGGTATAAAAAGGAAATTGACAATAAAATAAAAATATGAGCAATAAAAGGAAGATAGATATGATGTGTTCCGCGGAATCTTTTAAACCTGTTGCTAATGGCATTTGTCTAAAAATGCTGGAAAAAGTCTTTTACTTTCTTATTACATATTAATATTTACTTTTTTCATATTTTGTAAAGTTGTTCTCCAAAAACAATTAGTCTTGCTAATTCCAAAACAATATTTTCAAATTAAAATCACAAAAAGAAATTAATAAACAATAGAAAACATCTGATTGAATGACGATGAATGAGAAGAAGAAGAGTTGCAAGAGATTGCAAGAAGAAATTTGTCCAGCAAGAATTTGCAAACTCTCACTGAAAGAACTGTCAAAATTTCTCTCTCCAACCGCTCTCTTTTGCAGAACTTTCGGGTTAACAGACGACTTCCAGTAACAATTTGTAACAATTGTTACAAATTTTAGGGTAACCATACACACCTATAGTGAATGATGGCAACCCCAAAAAAAAATGTCAATTGACGTTTGCTGACATTTCATAATCCTCGATCTCTTCCTTTTGTGACTAGCTTTGAGTAAACAAGTATTCTTTAACATTAAAATTGTAATTTTTTATTTTTAAGACATAAATATTATTCAATAAATGAATTCCAAATAATAAAAGTTATGTTAATTGGCGACGAGGATGAAACATCGACTGGAGTACAAAGTGAAACAGAGGAAAGTAAGATGGCTTCAAAATACGGCGATTTGACAACAGTTTAATGTGGCTGCGGGAAATTGGCAGATTTATCTAAAACAGATGATTTTTTTTTCATGGCAAATGGTATAGCGGACGAGGATGCAAAAAAGGCGATATTTTTATCTTCTTGTGGGCCAGATACCTACGTACTGTTGAAATCCATAGCCACTCCAGATAACGTTATGGACAAAACATTCTCGTTTAAAAGAGCCGTGGAATTGTTATCCAAACATTTTTGCCCGCCACCAAACCAGATTATACAGCATTTCCAGTTTTACCGCAGAGACCAGAAAGAGGGAGAGACGGTTCCCGAATTTTTGACCGCTTTAAGAAATTTGGGCCAATATTGTGAATTCACAGATTTGGGTGTAATGCTGCGTGACGGATTGGTGTGTGGATTAAGAGATAGATGAGAGTCTACAGAAATGATTGTTGTCAAATGATAAACTAACACTCAAAATTGCACAGGAAGAAGCCATTGCCAGTGAAGAGGCCCAGACGAATTTAGCCGCATTGAAAACACCAGTTAACCAGCAAAAGATAAACAGAATTGGTAACGGCAGAGAAAAAAAGAGTAAAGCAAAAAATCAATCCAGAGATTGTTTTAGATATGGGGGTACACATTCGCCAGACCAGTGCCGGTTTAAAGAAGATTACCACTTCTGCAAAGAACGTGGAGATATTGAAAAGGCGTGTATCACCAAAGCCAGGTCGTCCAGGAAAAAACTCTGGAGGAGCAATGGGTAAGAATAATGTTAACCAGATCAAAATACCCCCGAATGACGGAAACCAGGACTACATTTTGTCAATGAGTGGAGTAAATGGCATATCGATCCGCAGAGAAGTGAAAATTTGTGAAAAATCTATTGAGGTGGATATTGACTCTGGTGCCAGTCACTCAATTATGAGTGAAGATAAATTTTATAAGAAGTTCCGTAACCTAAAGTTACATCCCAGTAAAACACATCTAAAAGCATGGGGCACAGAAAATAATTGCCAAATTTGTGGCGAAGAACGTGTTCCAGTTTCTTTGGGTGCTATTAACTGGAAGCTGATACTGGTACGTGGAAGAGGTCCATCCTTAATTGAAAGAAATTGGTTTGAGTAATTGGGAATTTCCATAATTAGTCCAGTGCACAGCATCGAAGGTGGGTTACCAGAAGAGGTAACTGAATTCAACACAATATTCGATTCAATGGAGGAGGATGGTGTGCTACGTTCATTGACGAATAGCGTATGGGCTACTCCAATAGTTCCAGTTTTAAAACCAGATAATACCATACGCATTTTTGGTGATTATTAATGTACGGTAAACCAGATGATTTGTAAAGAAACATCCCCTGCCAACCAACATGGAAGTGCTAACAACTTTAGCGAATTGTAAATGGTTTTTCAGATTGGGTTTAGATAGAGCGTACACTCAGGTGAAAGTAGGCGATGAATCAGCAAAAATTTTAACCATTAACACACATCGTGGATTGTTTGAGGTTACCAGATTACCGTTCGGTATATCCACAGCACCAAGTATTTTTCAACGTATGATGGAAGGCCTGTTAAGTGGCATAGATGGCGTTGTGGTATATCTTGATGATATTTTGATTGGTGGTAAGACGGTTCAGGAGATGTGGGACCGAACAAAAGTTGTTCTTCGACGCATACAAGATACCGGTTTAAAATTAAAAAGAAGTAAATGTGTTTTTTCTGTTCAAGAGCTATGCCTTTTGGAGTTCAAGGTAAATCGAGATGGTGTGAAACCAACAGATGAAAAGATCAGGGCAATTTATCAAGCACCTGAACCAACCGACAAACAACAACTGCAATCATTCCTGGGATTAGTAACATTTTACGAACGATTTTTCCGCAACAAGTTAAATGTGTTGGAGCCGCATTATCGTCTTTTGCAAAAGGATGCCAGCAAGTTTTGATCAGGTAAAGAAAAATCTTCAATCTGAAAATCTTTTGGTTCGTTATTCCGCAGAATTGCCATTGATTTTGAGTGGTGATGCTTCACCATACGGAGTGGGGCAGTCTTAGCTCACGTCATACCAGTCTTAGCTCACGTCATGCCAATTGCTTTTGGGTGCCGGACTCTCCAATCAGCTGAAAAGAACTCTACCCAGTTAGACAAGAAGGCACTTGCGATTATTTTTGGCTAGAAGAAGTTTAACCAGTTTTTGAGTTGAAGAGAATTTACGATCTTAACTGATCACAAACCGTTGTTGGGACTGTTTAATCCAGTGAAACCCATATCTGAGCATATGTCACCTAGGATGTTGAGATGGTGGTTGATGCTAGGGGCATACCAATACAACATAAAATATAGAGAAGGGAAGAAAAACAAAAATGCAGATGCATTAAGCAGGCTACCATTTAAAGAAGTAGGTGGAACAATTCCGAATATTCCTGAAATTTTATATTGTACAGAAGGCAAAGACCAGTTCTTAATAATGTTTGCCATTGTTTGCTTTTGGGTACAAGAGTAATAATACCCACAATTTTCGTTCCCGTATTTTGAATATGTTGCATGAAGTACACCAAGGTATGTCAGCCATGAAAGCTACCGCCAGAAGTTATTTTTGGTGGCCAGGTCTCAATAAGGACATCGGGATGACGGCGAAAAAATGTGAGAAATGTTCCCAACAAAATAAACACCCTCCAGCGGCAGAATCAAAACCATTTAGACCGTGGTCGAGAGGCATGCGGCGAATTGCTTCGCTCCTCTTTTCAGCCTAACCTAACCTACATGCAGGTCCAGTTTTACAATAAGATATTACACATTTATAATGCCGACGTTACCAAGATGTGCCGACAGATTTTGTTGGACCCTAGTCCAACACAGTTTCACGAATATTATTTAGAAAATTTTCGTGAAATCCTATTGAGGATTATGAGTGGTTTACGGTAACATTTGGGGTTAATTTAGCACGCTTCCTAGCATTTAGAACTCTCATTCAATTTGCAGAAGATACAAAAGACACATCCACTAGCACCGAAAATAATTTTTATGACATTATTTTCAATCGAAGATACCATAAAGTCTCACAAGAAGTTAGTAGCCGCTATGAAAATTGCCAAATTGTTGTAACTGCCAAACTAGTCAAGGCTTGATAAGATTAACTGTTTTTTTTGTTTGAAAATAATTTTTTTTTTAATTTTTACACGGTTTTTGTAATTGAGGCGCAAAGTAATGAATAATACTGAAAAAATCCGCCGGAGGAAATTTAGAGATGCTTTGGGCCCCTTGTGCTACCACAGTGCCGTGAGAATATTTTAATAATAAATACCTGTGCTTACTCTTAAATAATAAAAACGTTATAACATTTCAAAATATTTACATTTTTGCACAGAATGTCTTTTTGAGTTTTTTTGTTTTATTTTGTGCTTCAATTTATCATTCGTAATGCCAGATTGTTTAGTTTTCATTATGAATAACGTTTGTTGGAAGAAAAAACTGGGTTTCAAGAAAAAAATGACGTGGCAAAACTTTGTTAACAATTGGCAATTGGGTTAATTTTTTTAATTATATAAATAAAAAGAAAAAAATGTAAATTTAAATGTGTATTTATTTACCTTGAAACTTTCAAATACTTGATATCCGCGCTATCAGCCAAAGTGATTTTAATTCGCACTTACAAAACAAATACAATTTCACTTGCAAAATCCAAAGTGGTTTCAAACCAAAAAAAATGCGATTTTCGCTTTCTAAGTACGGAATTAAATTCACTTTGGGTGATAGCGCGCATATTATATTACACTACAAACAAACAATACATAATTGCGAAATTTTTTCATCCCGTTGCAACTAGTTATTGATGGTAATTGTCAATTTGTAAGCATTTTCCCTCGCAGTACATTTTTTAAACGACTCTACGTTTTGAACAAACATAGTATGTTTTATATGTCTCAATGTTAGAATTTATTCAGTCCATTGCATTTATAACAAATGCCGATAGAAATAAACTGTTTAGCATCACGTCTGGTATATTCAAAAAATTTAATAGCTTTTAGGTGAGTGTACATAACTAGCTTGGCCTCAAAGGAGAGTGTCACAGTTCGCCAGATTTAGACATTGGGTCATCCGGTCTGATAAATGACTTGACTTAGCAACCCGGCATTTCTCCTAGCTCAGACTATCTCCCGATAATCGTCTCCATCAGTAGATCGCCCGATTTCATAACCTCTGAACGCCGCACTTTCCTTAACCATTGGAAAGCCCATGACTCAATAAGAAAGATTGCTCAACTTCAAAAAAGAATACCCATCTGTAATTATTTGTCACATTTTCTGTAATTTTCCTTGTCACATTTCTCTACATAAAAACAGGTTCCCATCTCTGATTTGTGTATGTACAATGGATTTATAAATACAAATTTTGACATTGAGATGTTGTCAAATGAATAATTTTTGAAAAAATTGTAAACATATGCTTGCATGACTTTACCTCCTTGTTTCTACGATGCTCAACTTCAAAGAAACTAAAAAAATGAACTTTGTGCTGGAGCCTTATAGTGTCAAAATGACTTTTAAATATGCAATAGATGGTTTGGTTTATTTTCCATTTTTCACAAAATTCTTATATTGGGAAACCCGTGAAACAAAAATGGAATTTTGGGGTTATTCCACAAGATTGGATCTAAATAGTAGGACAATATTGCTTTATCCCAATATTGTACAATGTCCTGCCCAATTACATCGAAATTATGCATTTATTTTGCAACCGAATTTGAAATAATTTCAAATTAACGGAAATGATATTTAGGGACATCGCCGCTCGCTATATACCTGCTGGTCGAATGCCCGAAGTAAGACCAAATTTATTGAGCTCCGGCGTACTAACCCTACTGATCCCAGACAGTGGAAGTCCGCAGATTGATACAGGAACATGATAGGACAGCAGTCGCATTTAACGACGTAACGGTGACTGATCCGAAGAGGTTCGCTGGCCATTTTAAACGCCAATTTGTCGAGCAGCCCGAGAGTGATAGAGCGAGGCTAGGAGTACTGCAGCGTATAAGAGCTCTTTCCGCCGAGGATATACCTGAATAGTTTACGATGGGTGATGTTGCGAATGTCTTCCGAAACGCTAAGTCATCTAAAGTCATGTTGAAGCAACTGGATACACCGGGAGTTGAGTATATTGAGTGATAAATTGAAAAGTAGGAACAAGGTCCTTAAGACGCTAGCCGGCAAGGTCCTCCGGGGTTCGGATAAGGAAACCTTGTTGACCTTTTATAAAGCGATATGTCGTTCTGTTGTTAGCTATGCTGCTGCAGTGTGGTCCGAGTGCAATGCAGCGGTAAAGTATTCAGACCTGCCAGAATGCCGCCCTGAGAACTGCAACAGGGTTCCTCCTCATGACTCCTGTGGACCATTTACATGAGGAGACGAAGTGTTTTCGTTGCAGTACCTGCTTGGGTGTTATCGTGGGTCATACTAACCAACATATATGGGGCAGAACTCCCCAACCAGGCGTGTCAGCAAGGACCAGCATGAGTCTTTCCCTATTGGATCTGATATTTGCAAATGCTAGACATTGTTTTCATCATCTTCCCCGTATGCCCTGTATATGCTGTTATCTGTACAGATAAGCTTGTAGGCCCAGGTGACCCGTTACATCCCAGTTACCCCACTAATCTACTACTGATGCGTATGTTAGAACAAGTCTAACTACGCTTTTGAATATCCAGTGCGTCATCCTTGAATTAAAACTCGTCTGCATAACAGACTGGTTCAAATCCTTTGTTGGTTAAATTCCGTAAAGACTGTTTATGGAAGTGTAACATAAGGTGTGTCTGCTTACTTTTCCTGCAGGAATTGTCCAGCAACATCTTTCTGAGAGAGTAAGGTAGTTTTATTATCTTTTGCAAGGAAATTGCGAAAAGTAAACAGACAAGCTTCCTGCAAAACAAACCAATTTGTCCCCCATTAAAAGAATTAAACGAAAGGAACCACCACCAATTTCACAAGTTTTATAAATAACAAGTAAGCTAAGGATATAGTCGTGCGCGGCCGACTATGTGATACCCTACAACACTACAATATGTTAGAAGCCCCCTCATATCCAAATCCATTTTGGAAGATTTTTTCAATATTTACGCACTCCGTCGTGCTGTTAGTTTTTGTGGTCCATTTTACGGCTAAATATAATCCAATGGTCATCCAAAATGCTAGAATTCTTCACTGTGCTTAACTATCTTCTCAGGCGTGCCGATTGGCTTCAATTGTGTTATCATGATTTTTTTCTGTTTTTGTTTCATTTGAACCCATATATATTTTGCGATCATCTCCAAAAGCAATTTGGCTATAGTCGTCGACGAAATCAGCATAAAAAGCCAGAAGTTCGCCTTTTGGGTATTTCGGATATCGCCTGTAAGTAATGTTAGTATTTTTGCACACAAAAGTAGTGGTCCATTATAACTGCTGTCTTAAATTCTAACTTCATGCAAGATTTCGTGTCCTTTGGTTTCTATGTGTGACCTTTATAACATTTGCAAAATCAGGAACATTTTGAGTTGCTGGCCCATTTCAACCCCTAAATATATTGCGGACATATTTGAAAACAATAGGCTTAGCCCTTCTGAGCCTAACCCTACCTTTGTCAAAAATTTCGTGAGGATCGAATGATAATTGCAATCTGTGTATACATAATAACCCGATGACCATCAAAATTGGAAGGCATCTGCCCAGCCCAAAGCTCTAGCCCCATGCTAACTTTTGCTTCGATTGGTCTATAATTGTGACCTGTAGAGCAACTGCAAAATTTTTGCATCATTTTTCAGTTTTTGGTCCATTTCAACCCCTTAATATTGTGCGATCATCTCCAAAAGAAATAGGGTTCTATTCTGATTAACCCCACCTACATTTTAAATTTCGTGAAGATCGGGCTATAATTGCGACCTGTAGAGTGATTACCAATTAACATGGACAGACGGACGGACGGACATACATAGCTAGATCGACTCAGCTCGGCGAGATAGGAAGATCCATATATACTTTCCTATGTGGGAAATCAATATTTCGTGGTGTTACATAATTTTTGGCCCAATCAAACTTATAATACCCCCAACACAAAGTGTTGTAGGGTATAAAAAGGAAATTGACAATAAAATAAAAATATGAGCAATAAAAGGAAGATAGATATGATGTGTTCCGCGGAATCTTTTAAACCTGTTGCTAATGGCATTTGTCTAAAAATGCTGGAAAAAGTCTTTTACTTTCTTATTACATATTAATATTTACTTTTTTCATATTTTGTAAAGTTGTTCTCCAAAAACAATTAGTCTTGCTAATTCCAAAACAATATTTTCAAATTAAAATCACAAAAAGAAATTAATAAACAATAGAAAACATCTGATTGAATGACGATGAATGAGAAGAAGAAGAGTTGCAAGAGATTGCAAGAAGAAATTTGTCCAGCAAGAATTTGCAAACTCTCACTGAAAGAACTGTCAAAATTTCTCTCTCCAACCGCTCTCTTTTGCAGAACTTTCGGGTTAACAGACGACTTCCAGTAACAATTTGTAACAATTGTTACAAATTTTAGGGTAACCATACACACCTATAGTGAATGATGGCAACCCCAAAAAAAAATGTCAATTGACGTTTGCTGACATTTCATAATCCTCGATCTCTTCCTTTTGTGACTAGCTTTGAGTAAACAAGTATTCTTTAACATTAAAATTGTAATTTTTTATTTTTAAGACATAAATATTATTCAATAAATGAATTCCAAATAATAAAAGTTATGTTAATTGGCGACGAGGATGAAACATCGACTGGAGTACAAAGTGAAACAGAGGAAAGTAAGATGGCTTCAAAATACGGCGATTTGACAACAGTTTAATGTGGCTGCGGGAAATTGGCAGATTTATCTAAAACAGATGATTTTTTTTTCATGGCAAATGGTATAGCGGACGAGGATGCAAAAAAGGCGATATTTTTATCTTCTTGTGGGCCAGATACCTACGTACTGTTGAAATCCATAGCCACTCCAGATAACGTTATGGACAAAACATTCTCGTTTAAAAGAGCCGTGGAATTGTTATCCAAACATTTTTGCCCGCCACCAAACCAGATTATACAGCATTTCCAGTTTTACCGCAGAGACCAGAAAGAGGGAGAGACGGTTCCCGAATTTTTGACCGCTTTAAGAAATTTGGGCCAATATTGTGAATTCACAGATTTGGGTGTAATGCTGCGTGACGGATTGGTGTGTGGATTAAGAGATAGATGAGAGTCTACAGAAATGATTGTTGTCAAATGATAAACTAACACTCAAAATTGCACAGGAAGAAGCCATTGCCAGTGAAGAGGCCCAGACGAATTTAGCCGCATTGAAAACACCAGTTAACCAGCAAAAGATAAACAGAATTGGTAACGGCAGAGAAAAAAAGAGTAAAGCAAAAAATCAATCCAGAGATTGTTTTAGATATGGGGGTACACATTCGCCAGACCAGTGCCGGTTTAAAGAAGATTACCACTTCTGCAAAGAACGTGGAGATATTGAAAAGGCGTGTATCACCAAAGCCAGGTCGTCCAGGAAAAAACTCTGGAGGAGCAATGGGTAAGAATAATGTTAACCAGATCAAAATACCCCCGAATGACGGAAACCTGGACTACATTTTGTCAATGAGTGGAGTAAATGGCATATCGATCCGCAGAGAAGTGAAAATTTGTGAAAAATCTATTGAGGTGGATATTGGCTCTGGTGCCAGTCACTCAATTATGAGTGAAGATAAATTTTATAAGAAGTTCCGTAACCTAAAGTTACATCCCAGTAAAACACATCTAAAAGCATGGGGCACAGAAAATAATTGCCAAATTTGTGGCGAAGAACGTGTTCCAGTTTCTTTGGGTGCTATTAACTGGAAGCTGATACTGGTACGTGGAAGAGGTCCATCCTTAATTGAAAGAAATTGGTTTGAGTAATTGGGAATTTCCATAATTAGTCCAGTGCACAGCATCGAAGGTGGGTTACCAGAAGAGGTAACTGAATTCAACACAATATTCGATTCAATGGAGGAGGATGGTGTGCTACGTTCATTGACGAATAGCGTATGGGCTACTCCAATAGTTCCAGTTTTAAAACCAGATAATACCATACGCATTTTTGGTGATTATTAATGTACGGTAAACCAGATGATTTGTAAAGAAACATCCCCTGCCAACCAACATGGAAGTGCTAACAACTTTAGCGAATTGTAAATGGTTTTTCAGATTGGGTTTAGATAGAGCGTACACTCAGGTGAAAGTAGGCGATGAATCAGCAAAAATTTTAACCATTAACACACATCGTGGATTGTTTGAGGTTACCAGATTACCGTTCGGTATATCCACAGCACCAAGTATTTTTCAACGTATGATGGAAGGCCTGTTAAGTGGCATAGATGGCGTTGTGGTATATCTTGATGATATTTTGATTGGTGGTAAGACGGTTCAGGAGATGTGGGACCGAACAAAAGTTGTTCTTCGACGCATACAAGATACCGGTTTAAAATTAAAAAGAAGTAAATGTGTTTTTTCTGTTCAAGAGCTATGCCTTTTGGAGTTCAAGGTAAATCGAGATGGTGTGAAACCAACAGATGAAAAGATCAGGGCAATTTATCAAGCACCTGAACCAACCGACAAACAACAACTGCAATCATTCCTGGGATTAGTAACATTTTACGAACGATTTTTCCGCAACAAGTTAAATGTGTTGGAGCCGCATTATCGTCTTTTGCAAAAGGATGCCAGCAAGTTTTGATCAGGTAAAGAAAAATCTTCAATCTGAAAATCTTTTGGTTCGTTATTCCGCAGAATTGCCATTGATTTTGAGTGGTGATGCTTCACCATACGGAGTGGGGCAGTCTTAGCTCACGTCATACCAGTCTTAGCTCACGTCATGCCAATTGCTTTTGGGTGCCGGACTCTCCAATCAGCTGAAAAGAACTCTACCCAGTTAGACAAGAAGGCACTTGCGATTATTTTTGGCTAGAAGAAGTTTAACCAGTTTTTGAGTTGAAGAGAATTTACGATCTTAACTGATCACAAACCGTTGTTGGGACTGTTTAATCCAGTGAAACCCATATCTGAGCATATGTCACCTAGGATGTTGAGATGGTGGTTGATGCTAGGGGCATACCAATACAACATAAAATATAGAGAAGGGAAGAAAAGCAAAAATGCAGATGCATTAAGCAGGCTACCATTTAAAGAAGTAGGTGGAACAATTCCGAATATTCCTGAAATTTTATATTGTACAGAAGGCAAAGACCAGTTCTTAATAATGTTTGCCATTGTTTGCTTTTGGGTACAAGAGTAATAATACCCACAATTTTCGTTCCCGTATTTTGAATATGTTGCATGAAGTACACCAAGGTATGTCAGCCATGAAAGCTACCGCCAGAAGTTATTTTTGGTGGCCAGGTCTCAATAAGGACATCGGGATGACGGCGAAAAAATGTGAGAAATGTTCCCAACAAAATAAACACCCTCCAGCGGCAGAACCAAAACCATTTAGACCGTGGTCGAGATTACATTTTTGGGAACCAATATTCTTATCATCTTCGACTCATATAGCAAGTGGGTAGAAGTTAAAATAACCAAAGACACCAGTTCTATAAAAACAATTGAACTAATGAGAGATGTATTGGCATCACATGGGATACCAGGCACCATTGTATCCGATAATGAACGAAATTTTGTGTCAGGCGAGTTTGAGTCATTTTTGTCATCAAATGACATGATACATACGAACAGCACCGTATCATCCATCATCAAACGGCCAGGCGGAAAGGTTCGTACAAACAATAAAATCACTTTTAAAGAAAATGCCACAAGCAAACATCAAGAAGAGTTTAGAAAACATACTTATACGGTTATGAACAACATCCAATCCAACAAATGGAGAAAGCCCAGCAGAAATCTTGATGGGGAGGAAGCTAAGAACAATTTTTGATCAAATACACCCGAGCAACAACAAAGCTGGGGACAATTTGGCAATAGAAGTAGAAGTGGAATCGGTGAATAGGAACAGAAGTTTCAATTCTGGAGATTTGGTATGGACACGGAATTTTGGCAGAGGTAAAAAATGGCTGCCAGGTACTGTTAGAAACACAGGGGCTAGAAATTATGAAGTCGATGTAGGAGGAGATTTACAATCTAGACACGTAGACCAGCTGCGATCTCGAGTTATCAGTCCAACAACAGCACCCCATGAACAAAACACTACACTGCCGATAGATACGCACAAAACATGGATTTTAACCGCGAAGAAGATAAAAAGCCAACAAACACAACTGCTAATGACAGCACACCTGGTTCAACAAACAATGAAGTAGCCAGGCAGAAACCTGATCGAGACGTCACAACAAGAAGTCGACCGCAGAGGCGTAGAAATCTTCCATCGAGGTTAAAGGACTATCTAATGGGGGAGAAACTGTAATATAGTGAATGATGGTAACCCTAAAAAAATTCAATTGACGTTTGCTGACATTTCATAATCCTCGATCTCTTCATTTTGTGACTGGCTTTGAGTAAACAAGTATTCTTTAACATTAAATTGTAATTTCTATTTTTTAAGACATAACTATTATTCAATAAATGAATTCCAAATAATAAAAGTTATGTTAGATAGTAACCCACAGAAGAGGTGATAAAATAAACCCTGTGGCGTTCTTTGGCCAACTTTGTCCCTTATTTTAACTTCATATAGCCCATAACTTATCCATCGATTCCTTAGCATACGTTTTACTCAATCCCTGAGGGCCTGGTCAATCTGGAAATTGTCTAGGGATTGGATGAATGTATCTGTTTGACGTTATTGAAAGCGCCTTCGATATCAATGTATACTGCCAGTGCCTACATCTTTTTATCGAAGGTGCTCTCGATGTGGTGTACAAACTCATGTAATGTAGTTTTCACTGCAAATGCGACATATTTTTCTATTTTTGCATGGAGAGAAAACGATCGTCATGTTATGCTCTGTTTGATCAAACGCACAACAGTACGTGACATGATCAGAATTTTATCAAGATGTCAAAAAACAGAATTTTCAGCATATTTTCGTATAGATAGAAAAACTTTTTCTACACGTTTACAAGAAAAATATGAATTTGTACTTCTTTTTATATATCTAAATGATTTATTGCTTCACAATAATAACGCACATCCAAACTCTGCTCTACCGTCGGAGTAACACACACACACGTACACAAATGACACACAATTATGTCGATGACATGGTTCGCTGTCATCGTTGACATTTTTTTTTTTTTTAAGAACAGCTTCGAACTATTGACAGTGACAGGGGTCGTTGTTGGGTGTAAACAGCGTCTCCAGTGTGATCTGTGAATACTAGTGATACGCAGTGGAAACACATCCAGACCTGCCAGAATTCTGCCCTGAGAACTGCTAAAGGGTGCCTTCTTATGACAACAGTGGACCATCTACATGAGGAGGCAGGTCCTTCCCTTACTTCAGCATAACCATATGCTTTCGTTGCAGAATCTGCTTGGGTGTTACTGTGAAATTAATCCCAACCATCATATTGTGGATACAACTCCCCCACCCAGGCGTGTCAGGAAAGGCATACATGATCTAGAGAGGGAGGTCCAACGCTATAAGGGATAACCTCTAGATCAAGAAGCCTATCAGGCAGGTCTGAGTGGCATTCATTCAGGATGGTGTAGTCGTCTAAATTCGTATTGGGCACGAATTAACAAAAATGTGCGTGACGTCTGCCCGGCGTGTGATACAGGCCCGCACATACGCTGCACCTCTTTAATTGCACAGCCAAACCTACCCAACTCATTTCAAAAGATCTCTGGCTATAGCCCTTTAAATTAGGCGAATTTTTAAACCTGAAACTTGAACCAGATTAGCAGAACGTATACCTTACGTGTACTACTTCTACATGGTAGAAGAATACAGATGGATGCATCGTCGCTTGGAATATTGATGTCAAAATTTTTAAAATATTTCTTCAAAAATAAGTAGATTTTTATATGTTTCCTTATACGACGTCAATCAGAGTTTGTTTTAATATGCATTTTACTACAGATTTAATGGAAGCAACACACGATTCAACTGGTTGTACAACTTGGAGAGTACTCAAATTGTATGTTTCTGTCACAAACGATACAACTTAGTGTACAACTTCTTTGTACAGCTTCACTTTTCGTAGAGCTTATTTGAGTTAAGATAGCACCGGAAAAAATGCATGCTCTATAATTGAATCAATAGCTTTTATTTATAATTAATTTTTGAAATTCCATTTTATAAATTCAATTTCCTTTTTATATATTAAAATCACACATTTGATTGGATTTCGTATTGTTTTGATGTGCGAAACAATGATGTTGCCTCTTCAAAAATAAAAACAAAATGAAATTGTATGCGACATGCCCACAAACGTTACAATCGGTTGTGTTATACAAAAATCAAAAAATTTTGATTTTTCATAAAACCGAGACACAACTTCGTACAACCGGGCCACAAACGATACAATCTTGAATACAACCTCTCTAAGTTGTACAACCAGTTGTTGTTGTAGCAGCTCATACATCTGTGTTCGTTCGGTTTCCATTTTCTGACTCAGTTCAATCAGGTTCTGCCTCTAAGTAAAGTCTCAAAAAGGATGCAACCTGTATGGGTTGTGTCCATAACGAGACTGGAGTTAGGTAAGTAGGCTTGGCTGGGCATCGAAATAAGTGCAGCGTGTCATGTGGGCCTGTGCCACATGCTGGGCAGATGTTCTGCACGTCGCCGTTGATCCGGGCCCAGTAGGAATTTAGGCGGCTGCACCATCCGGATCGTAATTGAGCCAAGACTACTCGGGTTTGTCGGGGCAGCTCTCGTTCTTCAGCTGCGATGGGAGGGGGATGGTCTCCTAGCACAGTATTCACTCTATACCCTTCAATGGCTTCTGAGACCGCATTAGAGTGAATACTATTCAATCCCGCTTGATAGGCCTGTTGATCTAGAGCCTCTTTCTTATACCTCTGTACCTCTCTCTCTAGATCATGAAGGTCTTTCCTAACGTGCCTGGGCGGAGGTTGCCTATCCACAATATGGTAATTTGGATGGCTTTGTCTATAACACCCAAGCAGGTATTGCATTGACAGCATTTTGTTATGCTGTCGCACCGGTAAGACCTTCGCCTCCTCATATAGGTGATCGACAGGTGTCATGAGAAGGCACCCTGTTGCGGTTCTAAGGGCGGCATTCTGGCAGGACTGCACATTTTTCCACTGCGTAGCACTGACGTTGGCGGACCACACTGGAGCCGCATAGTTTACCACAGACCGGCCTATCGCGTTGTAAGAGGTCAACAAGGTTTCCTTATCAGCTCCCCAAGTACTGCCGGCCAGAGACTTGAGGACGTTGTTCCTACTTCTAATCTTGTCGCAGATAGCTGTGGTATGCGCGGACGACTTAAAGAGGCTATCGAATGTGACCCCTAATACCTTGGGGTAGTTGGTGGTCGGAATTATAGCACCTTCGACTAGCACATTCAAGGATAGCCCCATCTCCGCAGTCCATGTGTTAAAAAGTGTGGCCGTCGACTTAGTGGCGGATATCTTCATATTCCTTGCATTGCAAAAGGCGGTAAGATCAACAAGGTAAGCGTTTAAACGATCGCAAATGTCATCAATAATGGGTCCGAACGCCACGAGCGTACAATCACCTGCGTACGTTATAATCTCTATGCCATCTGGAGGACGTGGAATGTCAGAAAGGTAGAGGTTAAAGAATTTCGGAGATATCACCCCACCTTGGGGAACTCCCTGTTTAACTCTACGGATGCTCGACTTCTTGTTTCTGAATTCCACGTACGAGTGGCGTCCACACATATAGTTTACTATCCAACGTTTCAAACTTGGCCGGAGGGCGGTGCGCTCCTCGGACAGTGTGGCATGATTGACTGTATCAAAGGCTTTTGATAAATTAAGTGCCACCATAACTGTTCTATCGCACGGCCTGTTCTGGTTGAGACCTCTACTGACATGTGTGGAAATGGCGTGTAAAGCTGTTGTTGTGTTATGCAATTTCCGGAATCCGTGTTGATGATCGGCTACTGGGAAACACTCTCTTATGCTGGGGAGGAGTAAAGCCTTAAGCGTCATTGCTACTGGTGACAAAAGTGATATCAGCCTGTATGAATCACTTTTGCTGGCATCCTTGCCTGGCTTCAGTAGCGGGACCACCCTTCCCATTTTCCAGGCATTGGGAACTACTAGGGTGGCTAAGAAGTTCCCTGACTCTGGGGTTATTAGGGTTAGTACGACGAAGCTCATCTCGCTCGTTTGCTAATCCCGCTGCCTCTGCTGGGAAATTTGGTCTTATTTCAGGTTTTCGACCAGCAGGTATATAGCGAGCGGCTGCAGCTTTGATGATGTCCCGGAAACACCTATCTGCTACCTGAACATCAGATGGGTTGGGCAGTTCTCTAAAGCGGCGATTGGTATACTCTCTGAATTCTTGCCAATTAGCTTTCCCGTGGTTAAGGAAAGTGCGGCGTTCAGAGTCAATGAAGTCGGGTGGTCTATTGATGGCGATAATAATGGGGAGGTGGTCTGAGCCTAGAGAAATGACTGATTGCCAAGTTACGTCATTCGTCAGACCTGGGGACACGATGAATATGTCCGGAGAACTGTGGCAGTCTCCCCTTATTCAGGTGGGCGCGTCCTCATTCACTGTGCTAAACGCGGAGCTATCAATTTGCTCAGCCAGCGCCATGCCTCTCTGGTCATTACCTAGGACGGAATGCCATAATTCATGATGGGCATTGAAATCCCCTAGCACCAGACGGTTATTGCCTACCAGTAGTGAACTGATATAAGGCATATAACGTGGGGCACAGCTATTTAACGGCGGAATGTACACGTTGAGCACCTCTACCTCGGCGGTTCCACACTTGACCGCTACCCCCATACATTCCATGTACGGGTCACTAGAGTCAAGCTCAGGCGAGATAGGTCTGTACTGGACAGAGTGGTGCAATAGGAACGCTAATCCTCCACCTCTGGAGCGATCCTTCCTCAGTACGTTGTATCCATCACAACTTTGAAGCCTGCAGGTGGTACTTAGCTTCGTTTCCTGGATCGCTGCGACCTTGATGTTCTTCCGACTCATAAAGCTTACAATTTCGTTGATCTTACCTCTGAGACCATCACAATTAAATTGGAGAAATGATGCATTATCCGGAACCTGAACAGCAATGTGTGGCGTCAACTGCTGCGTAGATTGCTGTTGAGGAGATTGCGGGGGAGTCTCATATTGCGACGACGATGAGGACGCCGAAGATGAAGACTCACTGGGGTCTACATTGACGCAGCAGGAAGCAATGTAGTCCCTATCGCTATACTCCTGTATCCGGTTTAGGCCGGAACAATTCCGGAAATGCACCCACTCCATGCATCCGTTGCATCTCACCGAAACCGATCTGTGGTGGATGCGATTACGACAAACGGAGCAGAACCATGGTCCAGGGTTGGTCTTGATCCCGGCTCGGACCAAGAGAATACGGAGCAAACATTCCGGGTAATGTTGCTCCCACATCAGAAAAATGGACGAACACGAACATGTATTTGCTGAGTTGGCGGCCCCTGGTCGGAGTCAATCCGGTACATAATACGGCCGCCGTGGGATTGACAACCAGTTGTAAGGTGTGTGGCTTGCATAACGAATTTATACAAATTTTCATTCAAAATTTTCAATTTCAAAATTGGTTTGACAGTTCATTGTTCCAGCAGCTGTGTCGACGCGTCTACCTATATTCTTCTACCATGTACTTCTACAACAACAACCAAACAATATCCGCTGGATTTATGAGTACGATTTACGTGACATATACTCTACGGAATTGACATTTTCAATCGATTGGATCTAGTAGTCTAAATCAGTCTAAACGTGCTCTAAGCAATCAAGTAATAGAATAATTTGTTGAACAATGTTATTATCGTGCTATCATTTTTCGCGATGGGCTATCAGTTCATGGTGATTAACAGAAGGGTTAGCGCTGTTATTATCTCGGACGGCTCGGATTTTTACCTGTCAATTAAAGTTGACAGCTACCATACCATGCAGGAGTCCGTTTTGTTTTTATTTTGATTAATGAAATAATATTTTAAATAAAGTAAACTTTAAAAAATAAACATGATTAAATTAATATTGCGGCCATCACAGAAGATTATCTTTGTTGGCAAAGCTTTTTCGCAACCACTAAGAGTAAGCTGTAATCAATAAGTTATATAAACGAATCTGATCACTTGTATTTGATTTAGAATTTTGCAGGTGGTATCACAAAACTTGCGAGGGGCGAGAACAGCACAATAAATAATGATTCTGAAAGTAAACCAAAGGATAATGTGGCTTTAGGAATAAGTAAATCTGTTGAGAAAAAAGCATTATGGGAGCCAAGCCCATGTTTGGATAAGGGCCAGCTAATTGACCAGTACAAAAAACTGTCCAAATTCAGATTGACAAGTATGATTGATTTTTTTAATATGTTAAATAATTGGTTATAATTTCGAAGTTCGATCGAATTCATTATGTATATTGATTAGAAATTCGTGTGTTCCCGAATGAAATTTTTTATGAGAAATTTTTGCTTCTTGAGATTCCTAAATATGAAATGTTCCCAATGGCAACACACTCGGTGTCGATTTGCTTATTTTCTCCCCTTTTGAATATAGAGACAGATGTGCCAATAACTTGTATGTGTCAAGAGTTAATTGTAGGACATCCCCTACATTCTTAATCTGTTATATTAATTTCTTTACTTGATTTGAATACATAGTTATTTGTGCGAAACGTATATTCTGACTGTATTCATTTATAGAAAAACTTTAGCTCCTAGAAAGTGTGAAATTTAATAGCTTCGCGAACCAAAGTGCTTCTGAATTGGATGCTACTTTTAGACACCTAGTCTTCAGCCGAGGTTTTAGATTTTTGTTTATGTTGCATTTAGGGGCTATGCTCGAATTGGTGTGCATTTTATTACATACAGATATTTTAAACATTATTATGGAAAATATTTTTTTTTCGTGGATGAAAGATCAGTTTACACAGAAATATGACCTGAAAGTTTGGATACTTAAGAAGGATATTATGTGATAAAAATCTGTATGTGATGTGGTAAAATATCTGTATCATATGAACGTTTATGGAAATAGCTAATCAGCAAATGGTCATACAAGAAAACCCATATTTTGAAAATTGTCCCCATATGGCAATGGTTCCATAATGGTCAAAAATTATACCCATATTATATGTATCGGGTCACTAGAACTGGATATTTTCTGTTGTATCCGAAATTTCAATTAATATATCCGTGTAGCGGGGTCTTTCTCTTACGAAAATAATATTTTATCATAATCAGGTTGAAAATAACTATCTGTGATAAAAATATCAAAATGATTTGAACATTGCCCCTAAGTTTAACTTGGTCCGGATTTTTATCTCTGCGGTATGTAGCAAAAGTGCTGCTAGCTAGATTCATTGAACCAAAGCGCTTTAAATTTGATATATTCTAGAAACTAATTTTTTCTATATTTTTTATATTCTCTTTTCTTTATAATTTTTTATTTAAATTGGGCATGGGAAAGAACGAAATCAGGGTGTAGGGGTACTAAACTTTTCATTTTTTTTCAAGACTATGTAGAAATTTCTATAATTTCCAAGTTATGGAATTACATTTGTTGTTCACGACAAGATAACTAGTGGCACCTATTTATTTAAGAATTTCAAAACATTATTTCAAATTTAAATTAAATAATTTCATTCTGCGTAATAATGAACATGATATTAGTTTTAATCTAAATACATTTATGTAAAGGTTTCCCAAATACGGTTTGTGTATAACAATTGAATGATATTGGAAGAGTACTCCTAGCTTTGAATGTTGTTTTAAAATTTATAAAAAATTTCTTATATCAACAGCATTGGTTGTCATTACCACGATGGCTGGATACGCAGTGGCACCAGCTGCATTTGACCCGGCTTCTTTTTTAATGGTAACAGTTGGAACTGGCCTTGTATCTGCCGCTGCGAACTCCATAAATCAATTTCACGAAGTTCCATTTGATTCACAAATGTCTCGAACCAAAAGTCGAGTAATAGTAACTGGAAAGGTAACTCCGTTACACGCGATGGGATTTGCTTTGATTTCAGGAGCTGCCGGTTTAAGTATACTTTATTATGGAGTCAATGGACTGACAGCAGCATTGGGCCTAAGCAACTTGATTCTTTATACTTCTATATATACCCCAATGAAAAGAATTTCTATTTTGAATACATGGATTGGATCAGCAGTGGGTGCAATACCACCATTAATAGGATGGGCTGGTTGCTGTGGGACAATAGATGCGGGTGCTTGGATTTTAGCTGGATTACTTTATGCTTGGCAATTTCCTCATTTCAATGCTCTATCCTGGAATCTAAGACCTGATTATTCTCGCGCTGGATACCAAATGATGGCTGTTACTAACCCTGGTTTATGTAGGAGGACAGCTTTACGATACACATTTGCTCTTACTATGCTGTCAACTTTAGCGCCAATAATGGATGTAACTAACTACTGGTTTGCTTTGGAAACCCTGCCTTTGAATGTATATTTCTCATATTTGGGTAAGTTTTATTTGAGTATTTCTTAAAATCAAAATCAAATCATAGTCTGATTGCTTATTAAATGCCTCATATTATATAGAAATAGGTAAATTATTTCTTATTTTAGAGCTGTTCAAGTTAATTAAATTTTAGGAAGCAGGTAGAGTAGCTCTTATAGGGAAGACTTTAGCATTGCATCGTTTCGTTGGGGAAAGCAGAAAAATTCTTCGTTTTTACAAGTGGTTGATATTCATGTCACTTTCGAGAATTAAACTAGTTCAGTGCGGAGAGTTATTGGCATACCATTCTGAAGCAATCCACATAGTATATGGCTAAATCAACATAAAATATTACGCTGATGAATATAACAATTTTATGGACCCTACAATTTTTATTTCGAAGATATACTGGGTGAAATGGCTGGGAGTTGATGTGTGTTATGGCATGAACTTCCCTATTCACTGTTATTAGGTCTATACCACAATTTGGAACTGTGTGGACAGTTTTCGCAAGAATGTTTTCTAACCACAAAATAGCCTTACATCGGTGGAGGATATACTATAGGCGGTATATGACCCATACCTACAGTATATTTAAGTAAAATTTTATTAACCTGCTTCTTTTTGTTTGGAATCTAAAGTACTTTTCACAGACGGACCGACATAGGAAGGTCGACATGTATTTTTTTTCGATCAAGAATATATATATATATATGGAAAGTTTGTTTGTATTTTCTTTTGCAATTCTATTCAAAAAGATTAAAAAAATATTTGCAAGCGCGTTAGCGATTTTTGGTATATTGATTTAGAAAAAATTCTGATTTGAAATCTGTTTACAAAAATTGATTTTTTAAAATAATAAACTTATCTTGCAAAACAAAATTTTTTTTATATCCTTGATGAGGGACTTCTTGACTGACATAATAGCTTATTGCTGGGTTAACAATCTCATCAATCGACTGGGAAGCACCTCGAGCTAATTCATCGGCAACTTTATTCTCCACTATGTTTTTATCCTGGAATCCAACAGAACTTAATGAATTCACGATTTTCAAGGAGGGACTTCTTCAAAAACGATACAATTGTGATTAAACTTTTATGAGTGTTTAATGATTGTGTTAGATCAGAATAACCCAGGACTATTGGCTTTATTTATCTTGCAACCATCTGCCTAAATGACCAGTCCTTCCATAGAGGTTCGCCACCAGCCCAGGCGCCCCTATCAGGCATCGTTAAGTCAATATTATTGAAGTCGTAAGTGGTGGGCATATAATAATAAGTTCTATAACGTTCACCTATTGTTAATGAACATTGTATATGCAAATATTATACCTAATAAGTTTATGTGCCTGTGCTTGCGCTGTATATATCTGGAATTTTAGTGGTATTGGGATATATTTAAACGTTATATTTATTTACATTCATGTTCATATTTATATTCAATTAATACAGATACTTAGCCCATATGACCATGGACGGTTCCAAAAACTACTTTACACTACTGTTCTAAAATTATTTGTAGTATTCCTAATCTTGAAAATATTTATATTTATTTAAACATTGCACAAATTAGAACAGTGTTGGGTTTTTTGTTCGGGATACCGTAGTATTTTGTTGTTGCAAAATGGTCACGCTTTATCCCTTTGTTGTTGATTTTATAAAAACAACGTTTATTTATTAGTGGAGAACGATGGTGATGTTTACCATCGCTTGGGTAAAAAATGTTTTTTTGTCATAGAAGTTATTTTTAAAATAACTTATGGGGAGAATATCCCAGACAAAAAACAATGGAACTGATGAGGATTGGTGGCTCTTTCCGAAACCTAGGTATTCTCTGCCTTACCCCCTGGTAAACATTACTATCGTTCTCCACTAATAAACAAACGTTGTTTTTATAAAAACAACAATAGAGGGATAAAGCCTGACCATTTTGCAACAACATTGCACAAATTAACAAAATAAAAAATGAACGAAATAAAATAATTGCATGAATCAGCTAGGAAAATACAAAAACAAATAACCACAACAAACCCATGAAAAATTGTAAACGCTCATAAATTTTAAGGAATAATAAATGTCTTAATATTGGGTGACGAATTCTTAAAAATTCGAAGAATTTTGGAGACAAAGCGGAACACGGTCGATAGGTCACAGAAAAATTCAGTCAATCAAGAACAGTGCTAATTGGGATATAGATACTGTATGAATATAAAGAGTGTTCATCATTGTCTGCTTGTGACGTACAATTGCAGTAGAAACTCGTTTCTAGCTAGAAACGCAACCCGATGTTGAAATCTTTATTTCTTAACAATGATAGATGACTACAGCCGATATTTTCCTGTGTATTTTTTAAAATCCAAGGATATAGTTTTTGAGAAAATAGAAGAGTTTGTGAAAGAGGTGGAAAATGAAATATTTTGAACATTAAGATCTGAACGTGGTGGTGAATTTTGCCGCAAGGCAATGAAAAGGTACCTAAAGTCAAAAAGTATAGTTCATCAAATTTCTGCTCCCTACACTCGTGAACAAAATTGTGTGGTCGAAAGAAAGAAAGAATAGATGCTTAATGAAGATGGCTCGATGTAAGTTGGATGACTCTGGAACACAACAACTTATATCTAAAAGAGGATTCAATGTTCAGTTACAAATGTCACTCTTTTTTCATTACGGTTCTACAGAATTCCATGATTGTATGTGACCTTATTAACAAACATAAGAGAACGAGGTAAGATAATGTTGGGGTCAAAGGCAATTTGGTTGGCCATTGTATCGAATCGAAAGAGTATGCTTTATTTAACACGAAAACGAACGCTATTGTAATTAGCAGAGATGTGGAATTTATTGATCCTAATAATATAAGCAAGGACACTGATTCAAAAGAAACAAAAAAAAACCCTGGACAATACTCTTAGTTAACCCTTGCAAATTGCAAATTCTAATGAGGAAAACGAAAGCATATCAAGAGGAGAAGATGATACCTTTTACATCGTCTTCTGATGAGTCACAAATTGTAGAAGTCCAAGAAATCTTACTTGTGTCCTACTGCTGAATGAAGAGCATCAAAAAAAAAAACTCCTAAAAGATACAGGTTTTAAGTTTATTGTATTGATGATGTCGTTTCTTACAAAGATGTTATGTCAAAGTCTGACATTAAGGAATGAATGAAAGCTATGGCTGATGAAATTAATTCTCTACATGACAATCAAACAAGGGGTATTGTGGGAATGCCCAAAGAAAACAAGTTGCTTGCCTGTAAGTGGGTATACAAAATCAAGGAAATTATTGATGGCAAGATTTGCCGCAAAGGGATATTTACAAAAGTACGGATATTACTATGATTAAACACCACTTGAAGAGATTCCAATCTTACTTCTATGTATGTAATGTATGTATGTATTCATGCATCTTTATATATATGTATTAAACTGTAGTAAAAAAACAACATTTATGTATTAACTAGGTGCGCTTTGCTACCCCTTTTGACTTTATATAAATAAATTATATATAAGAAAATTTTGTGGATTTTAAAATTTTATTAAAAAAGGCAAAAAATAATTATTTTTAAGAGAAATTCTCTCTTATAATTTCACTCACATCATAAATGACAATGACTAACAAAAATTTTTCCTGATTCTGCAAAAAAACGTTTAACTGACTTATGTACTAAATTTTCAGACATTTTTGCTCTGGAAACCGATAAAATCTCAACTAATAACTTTTATAAACAACTGTCAAGATGGTTTTTATTTAAAAATAAAAGTAATTCTGGGAATAAATACAAAGTTTAAAATGTAATATGCTCTACGCTCCTTAGATGCGTCCGCTCTCGGTCAATGCTCAACGACGACTGACTCATAAACTCATTTTGATAGTTGACAATTCGGCCTCTCCTGACTCTTCGTCCCTCCTGGGCGAACCATCATCAGACTCATCTTTATCTTCGATTTCGAGACTTGGATCACCATAGCACCAGGGCTTCATATGATCGGTCGACATAACACCGCAATATTTCCTTTGCTTCAAACTTAAATCCGGCAGATCCTCTACCAGATAACGATCGTTTCCGATAATTTTCGTGACGATGTATGGTCCTTTATACCGCGCATCCAACTTATGTGATTCTCCTGTAGGCTGCGGTACCGTGTCTATCACCACCAAATCGCCTTCCTTGTACTGAGTTGGCTTGGAATGACGGCTGTCAAATCTTGCTTTCCATTTTTCCTTTTGTTTCTGGATGTTAGCAACAGCCTGCTGTTGAATTACCCTAACATCGAAATTCTCTCTTTCTTCATCACCAACCGCCTGGATAATTCTATTGTAACTGACATCTCTGAGACTAAAGTTGAATATTAAGTCATTTGGACTGAACTTTGTAGTCGCATTCAGCTGCGAGTTAATACTCCACTGTATCGTCGTTGTCTCAGTGTCCCATTCTTTTGTATCACCTACTAGACATTTCAACGCATTCAAAACTGTCTGGTTGATCCGCTCGGCTTGGCCATTGGCTCTTGGTGTTCGGACTGCTGTTTGTACATGTTGTATTCCGTTGTATTCCACAAACTGTTGGAATTCTTTAGACGTGAACGCCGTTCCCTTATCCGATACAATTCTTCGTGGCTGTCCGAAAATCGACATAACTTCTCGCAGCGCTGTTATAACCGGAGCAGTCTTTGTATTCCTGGTTGGCTTTAGCGTCAACCCCTCTTCTCTTATGGCGGTTAGGAACTCTTCTAGTACTTGGAGTCCTTCACTAATCGTCAAGCTCGGGATTATCACCTCATCCACATAACTTATGATGTTTCTCCGATGTTTCAACTTACGTATTATTTGGGTTATCATTTCCTGGAAGACCATCGGTGCATTTGTTAATCCGAAAGGCATTACATTATATTCATATAGACCGTCTGGTGTTATAAACGCCGTGAATTTCTTGGATTCTTCCTTGACGTGTATCTGGTAATATCCTGATGTCATGTCTAACGTTGTAAAATACTTATTTCCAGATAACAACGAAAGTTGTTC